TTTAGTCAGCATTTGCAATGTGCATGTGCTCATTTTCAAGTATCATTTTTTTTTGTGAATGAATATAATTTTTAAGATACTGTTACAAAAGCAACTGAACAATTCCAGGCTGAAAGCTATTTTTAAACACGAATCTCATCTTAGCAGCAGCATGGGAAAAGTAACCAGCAATGACACACGCATTTCCAAAGCCATTTATTCACAGTCTTACTCCAACTACTGAGAAGCAGATAATTTCAAGATTGCACTTCTAATTTTTATAGGAACACATTGCTTAAAAATAGTACATGACCAAGATGGTATGCCATGTTTCATTCAGACATCTGATTGGTCACCTGCTGCTAATTTATCATGGTCATTATTATGTCCTTTTCATAACTTATGCTTATTTGCTAAGCATAATATCAGGCTACTAGGGCATGCTAATCAAAGCAACAACTTCTCTAGGAGTGAATAACAAAAGTAATAAATGTTTATTGTAAATCAAATGGCATAAGAACTGAAAGAAATAAGACATGCCATTAGTTTCTTACCGCCTGAGAGCTTTCAATGACAAGTGCCAAGCCAAATTTCGAATCTCTAATCTTTATAGAACGCTGGATGCAAAGATCATAAAAATGTGTGTGTTAAACAAGCATTTTTAAAGTGAGATTCCTTAACAAAAGTAACTGCAAGTATCAGTACTATTTCTTTCAATCAAGCTCTTGGCAATTATGCAAACTGTTTGGAAGGGGAAAACCAAAAACACTGAAAAGGAAATGGAAAAGTTAACTTCTGTGAACTTCAATCTGAATTTAATATTTGTATGGTTACTTCCACAACACCTTTAGCTGGCATGACAATAATTACCTTGGAAACTAAATAAAGTTTGACACATTTAAGGGTGGTATAATTTCCTAATTTAGACCATGACATCCAAAGCAAAGCTTCAAGTTTACACACACCTAATGCCACTCACCATGCCACCTCTGGCATGTACTATTGCTTAATTTCCTTCCCCCACTGTTATATAGTGAAAATGCTGCTAACGTGCCTCCTAAACTTGATGCAAAGATCTTTAGTGCTATTTAGACATGAGTATTGTGCAATTTGCAGGGTTTTTTTAAAATGACAAACAGTTGTAGAATGTAGAAGAGTCAGTGGCACTGAGGTGTGTGAAGTCTCCCCTGCTTAGCCATGATCTCAGCAAAAATTACTTTTTCCTCCTGAATACTTTAATTAGTCTGAGAAATGAAAAGCCCTCCTCTGCTGAGATTGCGGTTGGGGACGGAAACTTTAAACGTTCCTTTTTCAGATGATGCAATACTAATAATTACAGCCATTTGAAAATGTGGTAAAAATGAGACAGCTTCGCATATAATTAAACCCTAACAACTCATTCACCCACTTCTGAGCCCATATAGGTGATCTGGTAGGGGAGCTAAAAGGTCACTGATTTCAATCTCCAAAAGCCATAGTTTTGGAGTATTGCCAAGTTTATATTAATATTCACCCAGATACCTTTTAAGGCATTATACTATAATGCATCATAATTAAAATAATATAATCTATGGTAATTATTAATAGGAAAGTTAATTATAGTTACTTACAATTTGTAGATATGGTATACTGACATTAAAGCTATCATTCATATTAGCATGCCAAACTACTCTTACATTTGTAATAAAAAAGGTACCCAGATTTCCCTAGAAAGAGAGAGAAATCAGAATTAATTGGGTTCCCTGAATGTTCCATATTGTTATATATTTGTGTAATGTCTAAACAGAACAGCACATTTCTTTAAGTAAAACTAACATTTAAATGATTATTTAAATAAGAAACTCATTGGGAATCACCTGTTATAGAAGCAAACCACAGCTAAACCATGATACAAAGTAGGAAACTCTCCAGTGTTCCTGCCAAGTTCTCAAAATAATATGCTATTCAAGTACAATGGCATGCAAGTTAAATTTAGGTAGTCCCAAATGCAACTACTGACATGGAAGTGACAATATTCAAAAAGAACTGTTTTCTTCTGTAACGCTGATTTTCCTCCTATTTTCAGCTAGTCTTACATATTAAAATAACTGTGTGTGAGAAAAGGTTTGCTTTGCGAGATTTTTTTTTTTTTTTTAAATAATTCCTGGGAATTATTCCTGGGAATAACTGAACAAGCTATGCTGGTCTGACTGTAATAAAGATTTGATTTGATTTGATCTCAGCAAGCCCATGTACAAGTATTTCTGTTCCTAGTTATTTAAGGAGATATAATATTTCATTATTATATAACACAAGCTTTAATAGAAGTCAAAGTTGAAAGATCATGGTTTTACTGGTTCCTCACTCAGGAAATACAATCTAACTATCTAGAAAATTAAACAACACTTCTTAGTAAGTTTTGTAACAATGCCTTCCTATGGTAACTTCATGGCACAACTACGATAATCACTGCCGCAATTATTGTAGTTGTTCAAAGACAAATGCCATATAAAAGCAGGTTCTTTCATGAACTGGGAAACGCTGGGCTGGATTTATAGCTGTAAAAGTATATCGGCTTTTGAGCTATAGGGCAGTGACATTTCCACCTGTCATTAAAGCCATGCCTGTTGTCATAAACCTGATGTGCCAACTAAATTCAGTCAAAGCATTAAGTAGAGAAAACATGGACAGGTTATCTTCGTCTTCAAATATAATTTCCCAGTTTTCTAACTGACAATAAATAGAGGTGAGGGATATATAGAAAAGATCTGTTGTACTGAGGAAGAGTAAAAAACAAAACAAAACCAAGCCCTGCTCTACTTGCAGCTTTGGCATATACACAGGCACACTTCAGCGAACTGTTCGCCATACTTTGTGGTTGTAATAACAATATCTATAGAAAGCTGGCTTGCTCCCTCTCGACTGGTCTGCTTTTACACTACTGACTTCTCATTTTATTTTTGTTTTTGTACAGGAAGTTATTTGTCTTGAAACTGCTTTATACAGCTTTCTTCTTTTACACGTGCAATGCTTGCTACCCTACTGAATTCCTTCTCTTTGTTCCTAAATGATCATCTACTATGTTCTCTTTCCTTACTATTATTATTACTTCTTGTACTGCCTTAAGTGTTAAATGTCTTGAATAGTCTTTATGGGAAAATGAAGTATTAATTATGCTGGTCTATGATTGTAATAAAATTTTGATTTGATTCGAAGTATTAATTTAATTAATTAATTAATTAAATTTATTTATTTACTTAATTTCTCCCCCGCCTATCTCACCCCAATGGGGGACTCTGGGCGACTCACACAAAACATTAAAACCATAAATACATATAAATATATAAAACATCAAAATTTAAAAAACATTACTAAAAAATGGAAAAGGAGAGTCCAAGAAGATGAAGAATCTGGGGCTGAAGACAGCAGGCCTCTATAATGCTAAAAACAGTCTACTAAACTACATACTTTTTTTTCAAATAGGGTTGTCTATGGATTATACAATCCTTTTTGCACATTACTTTTTTTTTAAAAGCACTTTCTTAACATTTTTTTCTTGTGTTGCATCATACCTGGTCACTAGATAAGTTCCAAACGCCATTTATTTTGTCATATACTTGTTCTTTTGGTAACAATCTCAGTTGTTTGTTTTGAATCAACGCACATCTCAATTTAAGCTCACGGTACATTTTCGATGTTTCATAAGCTCTAGAAACAGTGGAACACACAATTTTAACATTTTCAATTTTAATAACATTTTACTTAAACCCATAAAATGGTCCATTCTTCTTAATTTTGCTGTACAATTTAGTTCAATTAGTTTATTGATTAGCAATTTGACCATATTAAGCAGCAATAAAAAAATATAAAGAAAAAAGTAGGACATATCCATAATATATCATCACCCCTGCAGTTAACCTCAGTCTGATGTAAGTGGCCCATCCTGTTCTGGATGTTTTCTGATGTAAAAGATGCAGTCCTCATAGTAATATACAAGTTCGTTCAGTGCAAAACATGTAAGTTTATTCTGAGTATCCAAGTATTTCTTAGATTTTAAAGAAAAGACATAAGTAATCAGCCTTTGCTACAAAGTATAGTTTACAATCAAACAAGATAAGTTTGATTGAAGTGATGTCTTCAAGAGCTGGAGCACCACATATACAGTCTTTCTGCAAATGGAGCTCCATGAAATCACCCAAACTATAGCATGGAATCAAGTTATTCAAACTATGCTCTAGAGAAAGCTCTTCTAAGATGTTGAGGCATGTAAATTGTTAAGTACTATTCTACCTGAAAAAATTATTTATGTTGTGCCACCCCTTTCAAAGACTTCGCACATTTAAGGAATGCTGTGTCATCTTGGGCGGTGACATCCAGGAACTTTATTTGAAACTTTTCTTGCCCTTCAGGCCTGTTTCACCGAGCAGTTAAACATAAAATTCATATTGTAAAATGCTGTTTGCAATTTGAACAGCTCAAGTGCAAGAGGATTTGCTGTACAAAAAATAATTTGAGTAAAAAGATAAATATATTCTGAAAAGTGTAAACTGCTACAATTTTTATTTGTTGTCCACCTGGTGCCAAGTTCCTGAGTATAATTTAAAGCCTGGACATCCAGTTGTATTAGATATCTTCAGCATTTTTGGGTCAGAGGGCATATTTAAGATTTTTCAAGCATGTCACAAGCATTTTCATAAAATGACTATCATAGTGGTGCGGTTAATTCAAAATACCTGTTTACTAGAACCCAACTAGTGAGATTCCTTCCTACTACCACTTCTGGATTTCCAAGATGCTTATCTATTTTCCTGGCAGATGGACATTTTTCCAAACAAAACAGCTGCAGCCATCCATCATTTCATTTTCCAAGAATGAAAGCCTCTCTGGTCTATAAGGCCAAGGTGCATTATTGAAAATATAGATTATGTCCATGTTTGGTAGTCTGTAGCATACTAGGATTTTTTTAAAAAAATAAAAGCATCTTTAAAAAATAAAATTCGGTATGACAGGAGGTTTGGCAGGCACCTGGGAGACTCAGGATTTATACTATTGCTACATCCAAAGTCACCCAAAGATTCTTGTGGCTGTGCAAAGGTGTATCTGATATTCTATTCTCTCACTCTACTCCTAAAAACTGACATTTGTTCTGGAGAGTCCTGTTAACCGTTTGGAGCAGAGGTGGAGCAAGTACCTTGTGTTATAAAGGGAGGAAGAATTCAGTACTTTATACATTATTCCTACCAATGAATTCAAACACTATCAACAAGACTTCAGTCCAGACAGAACCATCAAACTAGCAAGAATCAATGCTTTTAGATGTTGTGTGTGTGTGTGTATTTGTGCCAGAGAGAGAGAGAGAGAGAAAGAAAGACATACACACAAAATAAATCTAAGCAGGCAAGTACTATGCACACAAAAGGAAATAAGTTTCCCTATGAGCAATGAGCTCAAAGGGCAATAAAACTGACTGGCACTTGAAAAGGGCAGTGGAAAATAGGGAGATGTGTAACTGAATGCCACCCTGGAAAAGAGCACAATTGCTTGGCTGAAAACCTGAACATTCCATTTAGGAGCTGGGAAGATACTGCAATATTTTTTCTGCAAGTCGCACTAAACTCAGATGGTTGCTAGCTTACTAATACTGCTATTCCCCAATAAAGAAAGAATTCCCCAGAAAGAATACTGCTATTCCCCAATAAAATAGCCCTTCTAAGGCAGTGATTCTTGGTACCTCAGGAACCCAAAAGTAGTCTAGGTGGGATGCACGTTAACTTGCTATCACTTAAATTAGAATAAAAATGATACAAATAAAAATAGAATAAAAAATCATGCAAAAGCCCTTTTTGGGAAAAAAATGGCTTTTTGTTAGTATCACAGTTGGACCCAGGCTTTTTGATAGTGATTGGTAGGGTTCAATATACCCAGAAGTGTGTATCTATGTATATATGTATGTATGTGTGTGTACAGTATATATACGTGTATATATCTATACACACCCCCACACCTCCACACATTAAAAAGCCCTAAAATAAAACCCCACTAACCTGACATGGACTTTCAAAATGTACAAAATGTTGAGGAGGAAGTGGGGGAAGGGATGGTAAGGGAAGGATTTTGAAATACAGGACAGAGCTATGCATTTGTAAATACCAAATCGTTTGTATTTCAAACAGATACAACACAGCTTCTGAAAACTGATGTACCATTTGCAATTAAACTAATTTTGTTAGGGCTGCCTTAGTGAGCTTTTGTGTTTCTACATGAAACTTAAAAAAAAAAACACCCTTAAATACCTGTGAACAGCAATAACAGAAGCGAAAAGTCTGGGGCTTCCAGGAACCACATTTGTAAATATGAATTCAAAACGTGTGTTATTGCATTTGGTTAAGATATAAAGTGCTTCTGTCTGGCCTCTTAATTTCTATAAGAGAAAATATCAGATTTAATATTTTATTGCACTTTTTAAACGAAATCAATATTATAGTCATTTAAAATTTCTGAAAAATGTTACATAGAGTTGCACTTGATTAAACTTCAGTTTTTGAGACATACAAATGTGTGTGACATTTCTAATCAGCTTTGTCACAAATGCCTTGGGTAGGTAATAACTCAAATATATATTATAAACCTTAGGTTCAGTAAAAGTAGAGCACATAAAAGATCACAAATCTTTAGCAGAGAGGAGGTCCTGCTGAACTCACTGGGTTCAGTCTGACCATAGGGTTTGGCTATGACTAAATCTCCAGGAAAATGAACAACTACCAGAGTATTTAATGGATCTTGTTTTCTGTACTGCTTAGCAACAAACTCCATTTGCACTGCGCAAAAGCAGTAGACGACTTACATATTATCTAGATAGCTCTGCAGGAAGCTGGTGCACTGCTGACCCATTCTACTGATAAAGATTCTACTGTATGTCAAGAAACGGGCTGCTATATAGGATTCTGTATAAAGATTCCAAGTGGTTAAAAAAGTCCTAAAGGAAATACCTTTTTGTCATGTATAATAAAAGTGTCCCTAATAAATCTGTGCTTATAAATGGAAAGGCAAAGTGGAAGTAATTTCATATTGAGGAATGAACCAGCAATGCAGAAAAATATTATTTTGTAAGATTAATGAAGAAAAAACCACCTAGAACAGCTTTGACTAATATTCACTGTCCTTCAAGAATGCTGGGGATAATTGCGTTTTAGGTGACTGGAAAAAAAGAAAAAGGGAAACAAGAAAAAATCGCTCCTCCTCACAATCCAAAGAACTGACACTGTCTTTTGAGTGAGATCAGAAGATACTTATCACGAGGGTCCTAATTACTTCTAAGATGGCAAACGCTTCAGGGCAAAGCTAATAATCCGATTATTTCACTTGCAGCTCTCCAGCTTTCTCCTGTGTATTCTCTCTCTCTCTCTGAAAAATTTGCTTCTTTTCAATAGTCATTGTTTGTTCTAGCAGAAATGGTATCCAATTATGATATCCAATCTATTAAAGGAGAGTTTCAGAAGAGGAACCTGCTGCCTATTACAGATGAAACGGTGGGGAACATGGAAGAAAAAACTGCAGAAATAATCAGTCAATTGACTGTGATGGACGAAAAGCTCCAGAAGCAAGAGCATGACTGGATAGCTACTTTAGGAAAGCTTTCATGTTTTTAACAAGATGCCCATCCTATTAAGCCATTTAGGAATAATGGAAATTCTGTGCGTGCGTGTAGGTATTAATCAGAAATAGTTTCTTAAAACCGATAAAAGAGATCTGTGAGCTAGAACAAGCGATCGGCTGACCAAGTTATAGGACAAAAGCTATGGCTAGCAGAGTTTTAAAGGCTTGACAGAGCATTACCAAGGACAGTTGGGACCAGAGACAAATAAAGATTGGGATGCTGATGATGGAAGAAGGCAGAAGAAAAAGAAAAAATGTTTGGCTTGAAAGAAAGTCACTCAACCTAAAAAGAGATTCAGAAGAGTTGTGCTTAAGGAAGCAAAAAGTGTTTCACAAGCAGATTGGTAAAGAAATATATGAAAAGCCGCTATGAAAGCCAGCCCGGTGTCACAGTTAAGATATTGGAGTAGGATCAGACAAACCTGGAGTTAAGTCTACCTTCTACCAGGAAAGTATGCTTCCATGTATACTCTGTACCATAAAATCTCTCTCAGCCAAACCTATTTCACAGGATTATTGTTGTGGGGCAACCTGGAGAAAGGATATACTATATACATTCTCTGACCTCTTGGAATAAAGGCAGGATACAAATCAGATAACACTTTTTTTTTTTAATTAAAGAGAAACAGAGCAGTGCAGAACGGCTCTTTCTGTAAATGGTGGCTAGAATAGAATGATGCAGGGTGATTAAAGCTATTAATTTCAATTAAGAGTTCATTAAACAAAGCAGACCCATATTAAAAATTCCAATTATCTATACCTGCACTAATCAATATCTGTCATCTCTGTCTCTCTCTCTCTCTTTTCTTAGTTATGGGTCAGATCTGAAGCCCAAACTATATTAACACAGATGCTATTATATTAAATGATGTGGAATGATGTAGAATCAAGAGAACATTTATTTTAACATGTAGTGGTAGATTTACAACTGAGTGATACTACAACATATCACATAAGTACATCTGACTAATTTTCTTCCTTTGCCATTACATCTTTTTACTTTTCAATATTCTTTTTCCTGTCCTTTTAAAACTTCTAGTTATTATTGACTTAACTTCTTAAATAATCCTAGGGAATGAAACCTAGGCCAGGAGATTAGTATTCTGAGGCACATACAGGTAGTCCTCAGGTTACGATGGCAATTGGGACTAGAATTTCTGTTGCTAAGCAATGTGGTCATAAAGCACAATATCATGTGACTGCATTACTTAGTGATAGCAGTCCTGGCAGACATCGTAACCCCAGAACTATGTGGGTTGTTAAGTGAGGACCTCATGTGTCCTCAACATGAGAAGACGTGGGGGGCCCAGGCAAGCAGGCTGGTAGGTGAGACCTATGGGCAGGTGGCCAGATGCCACAGGCAGGCACCATGGAGCATGGGGCGGCAGGTGCCGCAGGCAGGCACTACGGAGTGCAGGTGGATGGGTGGGTTCCATGGCAGGTGTTACAGAGTGTGGGTGGGCAAAAAGGGGCAGAAGAGGGAGTGACTTATGACCTCATCCTGGCTTCCCCATTGACTTTGGTTGTGGGAAGCTGGCAGGGAAGTTTACAAATGGTGATCATGTGACCACAGGATGCTGCAACTGTTGTAACTGCAAGCTGGTTGCCAAGCACCTGAATTGTGATCACATGTCACAGGGATGCTGCAATGGCCACAACTTCGAGGACCGGTCATAAATCCCCCTCATTCAGTGCCGTCATAACTTTGAACGGTTGCTGAATGAGTGGCTGTAACTCGAGGACTACTTGTATTCTCTTCCTTAAACTACCCTTGCTGAAGAACAGAAAGAGATGAAATACTCTTTCACAAATTGTACTATTTGGATTTGGGAAATAGATCCATCTATGTGCTTCTACTTGAGATAAAGAAGATACTGATTCTGTGTCTGGAACATAGCTGTCAATTTGTGAATGCCAGCTGACATCAAAACAGAAGACATGACCATAATCACACATTATGGTTTTATATCTTTTAATTTATATCAATGATTGGCACTAAACACACAAAATCTTTCATATCATTAGCAAAGTCTATATTTCTGTTTTTAATTTCCTTTTGATATCACTGCCTACATTTTTTCTGTGCACCCAACTGTATAAATATCTGTCAGCTTAATGAAGAACTTAATGCAACTGAAGTGCATTCATTAAAGTTTATGTCATAATACATTCTTAAACTTGGATATCACTAAGTTTCTTGTGCTTGAAATTTAAGGAGCATCTGTAAAGCAAATAATGATTAGAAAGTTATGTTATTTTAAAACAACATATTATTTACTTTGAAGAATGTTCTGGCTGATTCAAAACCTATTTTGTAATCTTACCGAGTTAGCCGTTCTTGTTGTTGTATTCACAAAGCAATTGTAGCCAACAGCTAAATAATTAAGGGGGGAAAAAACCACAATATTGTTAAAGATGTCATGATCTCTAGACTTCTGTCCAGAACACAAAAATATCAGTCTGAAAGTTATAAACTATTTAGTATTAGTGATTTACTAACATACTGTTAGTATAAAGTAACTTCATAAAATATATGCATCCTACAGCAAATACATAAGGCACTGGAACACAAGTGGGAATTCAAAGTGAAGCAAAGCAATTTTTTATTTTTAACAATTCCAGAATTATCTATAATATCCAGAATGCTTTGAGAACATCATCTACTGTTGATTCATATTTCCCAAGTGATGAAATTTAGGACAGTCTGAGGAACGTGAATATAAAACTACACAGTGCATTGAATAACATTTTCTGATTCTTGTTATCTACGGGACAGACCTTAAAACCTCTTTCCAATTCACCTTCTTTACAATGCTCCATGTACACCTCATCATTATCCCCAATTACAGCAGAAAAAGAAACAATTCACCACCTGCCATCTTGTCTGCTATATCAGTATTTCTATTAGGGCTATACATGCTTTGAAAATTATTCAGGAGTGCTTTGGCCCTTACACAATCTCAGGACTCTGCTACACCTTACGTACCTAACACAATTTTTTTTCAGGCTTCCACGTAAGCCCCTGCCCCTCAAAGATGCTGCTGCTTTAAGGAATCTACTCATTAAAAATAATGGAAGAACAGTATCTTTTTTCAGCCTCTAGAGAATCTGAAAAGGGCCAGGCTACTTTAATAACAGCCAATACTGTTTGTTATATGTTACAGTACTGATGTTGTAAGCTATCAGGAGTCCTTGGAAATTATGGTGATATTCAGATTTGAGAAATAAATCTGAAAAAGAAAGATCTTTTTGGCAGACTTTTAAAAAACTGTCCAATATTAATAACCGGGGGGGGGGGGGAACATGCATTAAAAGGAAGAAATACTTACAGAGATTGACTCTAGGCAATACAACAGAATGCCAAATAATTCTTAAGTTTGTTACTAAGAGTCTGCCTAGAAATTTAAAAAAACAACATTTCATTGGAATTTCTACATCTGATAACATTGTTTATATATGTTAGAGAGAGAAAGAGAGTGCATGAGCACATGGACAAATTGGACATGTAATAAAATGTAAACAAGCAATGACTTCTGACCAAACAACCCAGAGAGGGATCCTGTAAATAAATTTACACAACAAGCCACTGTTTCTCTTTTTTAGCTTATTCCAACTGGAAGTAATTATAATGGGCCACCATGAGATGGCTGCTAGAAAATAAACTACACCATTTACAGGAAGGATTCACTAGCACATTCCCAGTTTAATTATAGGCAGCAGCTGTGTCACGCACAGGCCTGCTGGATCAGGCCAAGCCCATCTTATGCCAGCATTTGTTTCTCACAATGACCAGCCAGATGCTCTAGGATATTTGCAATCAGAAAATGGAGACATACCCTCCCTCTTTGTTCTCTGTAACTGGTATTTGGAAGCATGCTGCCCCCAATCTGCAGGTAACATTGGATCTTCAAGACCTTGGCCACCTGTCCTCCAGAATCCATTCTGTGGCTATTAAACATGCTCAGAGTTCAGTGAGTTGCTTTGGGATTCTGCCTGTTGGATTGTTAAAGTTTTTCTTACGTCTACAAACTTGGGGTCTCCTGTACTTACACATATCTTGGGTGTAGATAATGCAATATTGACTAAATACTATAAGTATTCAGTGCTGAGGGAATGAGTTTGCTCTCAGTATGTAGGATTCAAAAGAATGATCAAAACAATATAGTTATATAAAAATGAAAATAAACAACTAAACACCAACATCACCAATGCCACCCCAGAAGCAAGCAAACTATAATCTTATGTAAGGAAGGACCTATGGGGGAAGTAAATGAAGGAAGCAAAACATCAGAGGGCAAGGTGAAAGGTTTCAAGAACCAGATGTTATTTAGATTTGAGAAACAAGAAAAAGGACCTAATACCAGGTAGCTTGGGGAAAAGGGATATAGCAGTGGGATATAGATACTCTACTATATAAGAGAAATAAAATTATCATAGCAATCAAAGCAGTATTGTACAATGATACTCCCTGTAATAACAAATTCAGATAGTTGTGAATCACAAAATTCACAAGCAAAATGGGGTCACAAAATAAAATCCATCTACATCCATGGGGGATACCCTAATTCGGCAGAAGCATATTTGTTAATAAAAAGATATTATCATTTATGCACACACAAAAGAACTGACAGTAAGGAGTTTTAGGAGATGAAATATCTGAAAAACACTATCTGAAAGGGCAAAACAATAACTTGATGAAAATTATATTTTCTTCCTGCTGTAGAAACAGTTCATTCATCTGAAATAAGTTGTTTCATTCTCTTTAATTCTATTGTGAATGACTTATCTTGTAGTGCATATATCCAAAATTAACAAACAGGAACAGGTTTTCTTTCTTTGAAAAGTGTGTGGATCAAATTTAATCAACTTTTAAAAACTCTACTTTATGTATTACCTTTCTCTCCATTGTTTCCTTTGGTATCTTCAATAGGCTCCAAACAATCAATGAGGATCTCTCCCAGTCTCATTTTCATTTGCCTAAAACAATATTGTAGATACTGCTATAAATGGTTGGCTTGTGTTTATTTACAGAGGCCAGTCACGTCCAAATTTAGCATTCTGAGAGGTAACAATTATCATGTACAACCCCCCCCCCCCCCCCCCC